ACCTGAGCCAAAGTCAGATGCTTAACCGACTGAGCTACCCAGGGGCCCCAAAAGCAGGTGGTTCTAAATATGTGATCAGTTCTGTTTCCCTATGAACCAGAACATAATTTGGGGACCCCCCTGCTCACATTTGGTCCCCTCCCTCCTTCTGTAGGGGTGAATCCAGGCAAGGACTGGCCACAGAACACCCCTGGCCTTACCAGGAAGTCCGCGGTCTTCTTATCCCCCTGAGATCTCTGCTCCTCCCCAGATTTTCTCAACTCCTTCAGATACTCCAGCTGCTTTTGAATTTGCTCCTGGAAAAGGGGCACTTTGTGAAGTTTAAACTTGGAGTTGGTGCCAACTCTAGAGGGAAAAATCTGTAGGGAGTAAGGCGGATGGTATTGCAGCCAAGAGCATAGGGAGGGTGCCCAGGAAAGAGGAAGAATGAATCCATCTCACAAGGGAAGCAGAGCCAAGAAGTGGTGAGAGATTCATAAAGACCTGTGAGCACCTGGATTCAGTGATGCCTGAAGCCAGTGCCCTCGGATCTCAGCTACATGAACTACTAAGTTCCCTCCTTGCTGGTCTGGTTTGTGTTGTGTTTTGTCATTTACAACCCAAGAATGCTGGTTAATGCATCAACCCCCCAGGGTTGTTGGGAAAATAAAGTTGCCCTGGCACGTCCCAGTGACCAGCAGAGAAAGCCCCCCACCCCCGGCCACAACAGGAAGCCCTACCTTATATTCCAGGGCAGCCTCCTCGATGGGGCGCACCCGGTGGCCTCGGTGCTCTTGACTCAGCCTGCAGATGAGGCAGATAGGCTCCCTGTGGTCCTCGCAGAAGAGCAACTGGGCCTGCCTCATATGTCGCTCACACTGTGGCAGGGCCTTGGGGCTCAAGCTGGTCATGTGCAAGCCCTCCTGCTGCTTGCAGTCTCCTGAGTTCTTTACCAAGAGTGGGGCCTGGCTCTGGAGCCAGCTAGTTGAGCAGCTGTCTGAGGTCTTGGGATCCCTAGAAGCCACGGAGCGTCTGCAGGAATCGCGCACATGCGTGCCACCAACCGGGTCTCCTTCCTGGGCACGGCCAAGTACATACACAGCCTCATCCCGTGGCTTCCCTGGAGACACGGCAGTGGAAAAAGTTCCTGAGTGACAAAGCCAAGGTGTGACGCAGGGGTCCTACCAAGCACAGCAGAGGGAGCGAGCCCACGCCTGGGACACATGAGTTCCTGGTTAGACTGTGGCCGCTTCTAGCTTGTCCTCCCCTGACTTCGCTCCAGCAAGGCAGTCAACCACCCCCTGGAACTGAGGGCTAAGGGCTAGATCTCAGGGCAGTCCTGAGACTTGCAATCTTTGGGTATTTATCCTAAAGAAGGGTCTTTTGTTATAAATTCTATGCCTTCTTCCCACACAGACGCGGATCTGGCAGGTGATATAAAGGCAGCGAGACATTCTGACCAGTGTTTGCTCTGACGCTGAAAACCACCCAGGCTGCTCAAGACGTGAGCGGGATCTCCCTGAGGACGTGGATTTACTCACAGCCTGACCCCTAGGAGAGTCGATGGCACATGGTAAGGAGTTGAGAAGTGTGTGTTCAATGAAAGACCTCTCCTCCCGTCCAGTTCAGGAAGTCTTAAGCAGAAGTAAAGAAAGGGATTTGACTTTATAAGGCTGAAGGGCTTAACCCACCATGATGACAGCTGCGACCAGCTGTGCCCCAGGACCACAGCACAACTTCACGAGGCAGAAATGACAGGAGGTACAAGAAACAGAAACACCCTCAATCTATCAGTCCCCTCCCACCCCCTCTCACAAGGTCCCAGGAATTCCTATCACGTCTGTAAGCCAGACTGTGGGAGGCCTGCCTGGTAACCATTCCCCTCCTTCCCTAGTGATAGAATTGATTGCTTCCCATCAATTGATGGCTGCTTCCCACCCCCAACCCCCCTCCAAACCCCTACATTTCTCAGCCTCCCTTGCTGTTAGGTGTGGCTATTTGACTGCTTTCTGGCCAAAGGGATATAAATGGAGGCATCACGAGCAGCTTCTAGAAACTTCTGGAAATCTTGCCTAAGTGATACTCTTCTCCTTTGTCCTTCCACCCTGCTGCTCGGAATGAGACCATGAGCTTGAGAGCCAGCTTGGTGGAACAGAAAAGCAGCAGGAGCCTGGTTCCTTGTTATGAACCACCTGTGAGTCACGTATATGAAAGAGAAACAAACTTCTAGCTTGTGTCAGTTAGCATTACGTTGGCATTTCTGTCACCCACAACCCAACATAATCCTAATTTCTGCCTCCTAAGTGAAAGACATTTAGCATTTTAGCCAGCAGCTCTCCTTGCTGCCCAGAGAGAGGGGTGAATGGCAGAATCTCAGCCCCGTGACATACTGCCATGGGGTCATTGTGAGAAGTGGGTATTTTTACCCAGTCTTTCCCAGATGCTCAAGCTGGAGTCCATGAATCCCTTGGAATTCTAAAGGACTTCAGGGTGTCTAAGAACTGACTGGCTGAACTTTGATGCAGCATTTTGTGAAGATGTGCATACGTGCATTTTCTCAGGATTCACATCCTACCTCAGATTCCCAAAGGGTCGGGGATGTCAGGGGAAACCCAGGCATCTGGCAACATAAATACAGTGGGGATAAAAGGAGGTTTGTGCGGGAACACCTGCACTGGTCACCATCTCTAAGGATGCCAGGTCTTGTGAGTTTTGGGGTCCTTTCTCACCTGAAGAAGGAGGAACTTCTGGATCTGAAGGCTCATGGAGCTCACCGCCTACCACCTCTGTCAAGGCCTCAGGGGGTTCTTGACCCGCAATTCCGTTTTTCTTAGAAGGTCCTGTAGATTCTGGATGCTCCCAGGTCGTCTTTGCTCTAGTCAACGTTACATTGGGAAGTGTATTCCTGAATGCTCCCCCTTTCAGGCTCATGGAATGTTCTGGATTCCTAAAGCCTTTCTCTGGAGTCACAATAGCCCCTACATTCAGAGTGGCCACTTCACTGAGGGTGGCCGCTGAGTCTGGATTGTCACTTCTCATTTTCTCTTGAGACAGAAGAGTTTCTGGATTGGGGACTTCTCTCTCTCCTGAAAAAATGTTAATTTCAAGACTTCTGGGGCGCTTCTGTCCAGAAGGTAAATGTGCTTCATTTATTTTGGATTTTGTCCTTCCTAGGGACCCAGTAAGCGACCCATAGTTCAGTCCTTGGAGCCTTCCTAAAGAGCTGGCATTCCTGCGTAGCCTGACACTGGGATCGATCCCCCTTTCCCCCTGCAGCTTGCCAGGGCATGGGCATTTCCTGGAGGACAGAGTCGCATTCCTAGCCCCTGGCTTGCCCAGCATATCCAGGCCTTCGGAGGTCTTCTGATCTCTCCGTTTTCCCTGAGGCTTCTTCTGGGTCCCCCTTCCAGCCTCAGGCTGGCTGGATGGCAGACTGGGGGCCCCGTCACCACTTTGCCGCTGCCTATCACCTTCCAGGACATCTGGTATCCTCAGGCCTTTGGGCTTATTCTCCCCGGAGGAACAAGACACTGCTGAACCGTCTGCGCCACTTTCTTGTATCAGAGACTCTGCAAAGACAGCAAGATGCAAAGGCATGAAAATGTGTGGTGCTCGGGGCCAGGGGTTGGGAGAAGGGAGAGAAGGGGAATCCTCTTAATTACAGAGGTTTTGGGGCGCCGGGGCGGCTCAGTCGGGTAAGCGTCCGACTTCGGCTCGGGTCGTGACCTCGTGGTTCACAGGTTCGAGCCCCGCGTCAGGCTCTGCTGACAGCTCCGAGCCTGGAGCCTGCTTCCGAATATGTGTCTCCCTGTCTCTCTCTCTCTCTCTGCCTCTCCCCCACGTGCATTCTGTCTTTTTAAAAAACAAATAAATTTTGAAAAGATTTTCTCTCTCCCTCTCTCCCCCTCCTCCACTCGTGCTCTGTCTAAAAAAAAATTACAGAAGTTCAGAGCATTCTAGGCAACAGCAGGCAATTACCATTAAATAAGAAAATGCTAATTAGTTGTTACATATTTCCCAAATGGTGCTTTTCAAACGTCTTTGACAGGAGAACGTCCAATATAAAGTCTTACACAGAATTCTTAATACATAAAATACATAAAAACCCTAGTTTACTTGTATAAGTGTGTGCATGATTATACATGTACAAAGCTCACTTATAAAATCCCTCAATAAAGAAGTATTAAGGTGTTTGTCAAGCGCCCCTAATGACACATGTTAACATGAATTTGTTGGTTTTGTGAGTTAGAAAAGTTAATAAAATTTGAATTAAGTATTTGCTGACATTCCAAAGAATCCCTGAAACATCTTCCTGGGATGTAACTTGAAAACCACTACTCTAGTAAAGAAATGAAGATTTTTTGTAATTAGCACCTTAATGTTTCGTTTGAAGAAGCTCTTATTGAAATGACCTCAGAGTGGTTTAAAACACTTGGCTGTTGTAAAAACATGTTGCTTCCTAGGAAAATGGTAAGTTCTTGGAACTGGCTCCGGAACTGGGGGGAAAGCCCTGAAGATGCTAATAACCAGGTTTTAAAACATAACAAAGTGGGACACCTGGGTGGCGCAGTCGGTTAAGCGTCCGACTTCAGCCAGGTCACGATCTCGCGGTCCGTGAGTTCGAGCCCCGTGTCAGGCTCTGGGCTGATGGCTCGGAGCCTGGAGCCTGTTTCCGATTCTGTGTCTCCCTCTCTGTCTCTGCCCCTCCCCCGTTCATGCTGTCTCTCTCTGTCCCAAAAATAAATAAAAAACGTTGAAAAAAATTAAAAAAAAAAATAAAACATAACAAAGTAACTTACAAATTCTCCTCATCCAAAAAAAAAAAAATTCTCATCAAATGACACGATTACGGTTTACTCCATCACTCTTTCAAAAGCAAGAAGTTCCATGTTATTTAAACATTTCTACTTCAAAAAACACACATGGAAAGCATTTCTAATGTGTCCTTGGAGTCTGGAGGTAGAAGAAATACTCAAACACTAAAGAGTATTTTTTTACACTTGATCTTAGCCAAAAGGCTGAGAAGCGAGAAAGAATATTTTTTTAAGCCGAACACGTATTAGCTCTCCCCCCAAATCTCACACACAAAAAATCTTTAAAAGCAAACATCAAATAGGTCACATTCGTTGATCACAGTGTAATGAAATCAGAAACTTACAACCAAACAGGAGCAGAAGAACAAGAGGCAGAAGGGAGGAAAACAAGGGAAGAGAAAAGATGGAGGAAAGGAAGAAAAAGGATTGGGAATTTTAGAATACCGTTGTGAAATGGGTCAGAGAGCTCAAAAGAAATTAGGTGGGTCCTCTCCCCAAGATACTTGTCGGTCCACAAGCGTTAAGCACTTAGGAAGTGCAGGATCCTCTAAGATCAGGCATCTAGCTCCTGCCTCTTCTGATTCTTTCCCACAGTCAGAATCTCAGTCTTTTTTTTTTTTTTTTTTTTTTTTTTTTTTTTTTTTTTTTTTTAAGCCTTTGGGAGCTTTGGCTATGCTCACCCAGCTCCAAAGACCTGAGCAGAAAGGAATTGCTCGGCCAGTGTCACTGCGGTCATTGGGAAACCCGGGACTCCTAATCCTCAGGTCACAACACACTGGTCCAGACCCAAGTTCTTTCTTGCACCTCCGCCCCACCCCATGAACAGCCCGAAGTCGTGCTGCAGGATGCAAGGGCATGGGACCTGCTTACCTGGGTCAGTCGCCTTGTGGAGCTCCTCTGCCAGGAAGTTCTGGTTGATGGCCCTCAGGACCTGCAGGGTCAGCTGCACGGCACACTCTTCCCCATAGTGGGTGATCAGCAGGGTGGCCAGCCTCACTGGCCTGGCTTTCTGGAGCTGGCCCCGGGGGATCCGGGATTGATCCTTCTCCAGGCTGGTGTTCTGGAGTTTAAACTTGAACCTCTCAAAGTCGTTGGGCACCAGCCCCTCCAGGGAGTGCAGCAGATGGTCACTAGGGGTCTTGATCATGGTGTTGACCAGGAGAGGCCGGAGCCAGATGTCTGAAACAGCTTCTGTCCTGGAGCCCAGAGGGTGAGTAAAAAGAGACAGGTTGTGAAATAACGGAAAAGGCACAGGAAACACTCTGCACTCTGGTGAAAATGGATCTGTGAGTGTCATTGTTTGTTTGTTCCCAGTGTCATCACTGGCTCATGTTCTCTTTCTGACAGGTTTGGAGAGGGCTGGGAGGGCACAACGCCTTTCCAGACACATGGTCCTCCAGATGTCCCACCCCTCACCTCCACATACCGGCCTGCAGAGCATCAGGTAAATATGTGTGTGCGTGGAAGGGGGTCTGGGATCGGATTCCAGAGCCTTCATCCTGAGCAGGCACTCACATGCTTCCCTCTCTCCTCCCAGGATATGGGGGCGGGCGTGGGGAATAGGAACAAAGCCCTGGTCCCACGCTGAAGAGGAAAAGGGTCTGTCCCCTTGGCCAGTTGTTCTCCTGCAGACTCCTGGGATTTTATTGACTCTCCAGAGCAAATGTGGGGGGGGGGGAATGGAATCAACAAATGCAGCCCCACAAGCTTTGCCCTTCCCTCACCAAGAAGGAGGCGAAGCCAGAAGGGCACTGCCAGGACACAAGCCCTGGTGTCACCCTTGCTGGTGTAGGTCCAGCTGTCTGGTACTTTCAGCATCGTGAAGGCCTCAAAACACCTTGCGTGGAAATGTCAAACTTATTTGTTTCCTACTCTGCCCCGGCTTCCTGAGGGCATACCCCCGAGGGAGGGTGCTGGTCCATGCACATTTGTGTAACAAGTTT